GAACCTTTTCGCGTGCGCCGAACTGTGACCAGCTTTCCACCAGCGGCGCGAAAAACAGACTGTCCTTGCTGTCAGCAGCTTCTCTGCTTGAGTGATTAAGTTTGTCAAAAATGATTTATAGTTTTTGATGCTTATATATTTGGATGAATACTTGGTGATACATGCGTTCATGATTGAACACGTAAGGGGCCCAGTACGGACGTACTTTCCCCTTATTTGTGAAATTTTGATGGTTTTGGAAACCAAGCATGAGCCAAGTTTCTCCATGTGTGATTTGCAAGCGCATGATTTATTCATGTTTACATATGCAATCATTCTGAAGTTTTGGCTCTCTTCAGCCAAACGAAATTTTGTCCCACCCACCTTCTCCTACATGCTTTTCGATGCTGTTGCCCACAGGCAGGAATGTCAGTATGGGAATTGAGGGCGTTCCAAAGTTTAGATTTTCGATGCCAGGCAAATAGGCAACTTTGACGTCGCAGATGATGATTCATGGGCCGGCCGAAATTCTGGAGACCATAGGATTGTTATCCCCTCAGTTTGCGAATGTCTGAGATGGGGGGGGCTTGGGGCACCCTGACAGTCAGGGTCTGAAATGGGGGTTTCCCCAATTTAGACCTTCAGCCCGTTCCCATCTCAGACCCCTTTTGATCAATGCCGTTTTTTTTTTCTTTCCTAACCCAGCGGCCTCTCCACATCTGGAATAATATTCTCCGAATAATTTCGTGGATTTTCCCGGAATTTTCCTAGAATGGGGGGGTCTTGAAAAGCTGCTTTCTCTCTCTCTCTCTCTCTATCTCTCTCTCTCTCTCGTGCGCGATGTCAATTGACGCTTGGGTGTTTGGGTGTGGGTGTGGGCTTAAGTTGTCCGGATCTTGAGTGGGTGTCTGGGTGTGGGCGTAGGCTAGGGTGTCCGGAACCTGAATGGGTGTCTGGGTGTGGATGTGGGTGTGGGCTTATGTGTCCGGATCCTGAGTCGATGTGCGTGTCTGGTGTGAGTGTGGGCGTAAGTGTCCGGATCCTACGTGGGTCTGTGGGTGTGGGCTTAGTCGTCCGGATCCTGAGTTGGTGTCTGGGTATGGGCGTGTGCTTCATTGTGCGGGTCCTGAGCCCGTGTTTGGATGTGGGCCTGGGTGTGGGTGTGGGTGTGGGCTTAAATGTTCGGATCCTGAGTGGGTGTCTGGGTGTGGGTTGATGTGTCCGGATCCTGCGTGCGTGTCTGGGTGTGGGTATGGGCTTATGTATCCGGATTTTGAGTAGGTGTCTGGGTGTGGGCGTGTGCTTCATTGTCCGGGTCCTGAGCCGGTGTTTGGATGTGGGCGTGGGTGT